TTTTGTGAGAATGATCCAAACAACAAAAGTTAAAAAGACTGCGAGAGATGGATCAGAAGAAAACAGTGGGTCAACTCGCATGCTGATCGATCCCCAAAGAAGTTCGGGAATAAGAGGCATTGAATGATTAACACATTTCTTAAACAAGATTTGAAGAAACAACAAAATGTGAGCGAGTTAGCAGAAGAATACTCATATTCCCCTATTTAAGAATACGAGTGATGTACAAGAATGTTCCAACTATCGAGGGGTTAAGCTTATGAGTCTCACCATAAAACTTTGGAAGCGGGTGATTGAGCAAAGACTCTAAACAAATGTGAAGATTTCGAAGAATCAAATAAGTTTTATTCATGATCTCTCAATACCTGGGGTCATTGGCCTTTTTAGACAAGCAGTAAAGAAGTATATAAAATGCATATGTGATGGTCCTAATGACACATTAAAAGAATTTGGATCCCTTTCTATAAGTTGAAGGGTGATCTTTTATTGGATAAACTATAACCTTGGAGAACAAGTAAAAAACATCTAATCTAATTAAAGCTAGACATGTGTATGCTTGATTTAGAGAATTGACTGATTGGTACCATTGATTGATTGTGTCAATACAGATGATTCTCCTTTTGTACCCGGATGCTTGGGTGAGCACACATTTCAAAATTAAAACTAGTTTGTGTGGATAGATTTTGGTGAGATTAGCTTTGTAGTTAGTTGTGATTATTCCTTGACAATGTTGTCTCTAACCCGCCTAGAGTGCAACGATGGCTAAGTACAATTATATGTGTCGTACATTGAACTCGGCTTTGCCTAGCTTGTGGATCACTAGCGCTTGGCTCGGCTGCAATTTCGGAGTTGTCTCTCTGATTTGGGAACCTCATCAAGCACGGCCTCTGCCTAGGTCATGGGCTCGACTTTGGCCACTGCTCCAGAGTTCTTAGATTGACTTGAGAATTGTCTAATTGGGCATAGCATCGTATTTGGTCGTGGGCTCGAGCTCGCCCATTAAGGTTGCCTTCGTCAATCATGGGAGCCTATCCATGCATCATTTTCACTCCTGAGGTTTTTTGAGAAGTCCTTAAGTGAGCCTTAACTAGAAAAAGGTATGCCACACAAGTATAACAACTTCATGGATATGCATGAGAATTGTACTATTAATGTCATTAATTTCAAAGAAGTGTAGAGAGGAATGTATAATTCCCTATTACTATTAGAGTGTACCAAGGGTCGACTCTAAGTCCTTTTTATTTGCTATAGTCATGGGACAACTTAATTACAAAATCAATCCAAGAAGATATACTGTTGTGCTTGATGTTTACCGATGATATCGTATTTATTGATGAGGCATAATCGGGTGTTGAAGCAAAGTGAAAAGTATGGAGACAAACATAAGAGAACAAATGTTTCATACTAAGTCAAAGCAAGTAGGTATATGGAGTGCAAGTTTGGTTGAGGAAGAAGCAATGATAATAGTGGGATTACCCTAACTGAGTAACTAGTAAGGAGATAACAATGAGTGACATGTTTCGTTACATGAACTCCACAATTCAAAAGGACGGTGAAATTAGAAAGAAGAAATTGTGAACATTGAACTAATGAACGAGCTAAGATAATGAATCTTCAGATACCTTTATTTTCATAGTACTGATACACTCGCAATCTATTAATATTGTCGGTTATCGGCTACCGACTAGAAACGAACACGCAAAATCATGTTATAATCAAACAACTGTATAATTTATTAATTTCCTAATCGATAACCGACTTTCTTTATTAATCTTGACATTGGATTTCGGTTACGTCAGGGTTTTTATCACCCCTCATTACGACATTCGATCTTCACTGAAGGCATCGAAATAAATGAACATGTTATACATCATCATTGTTGAAAGTTACTTATCCCATTAGGAATATAAGTTCTAAAAATTATAATCACTCAAATGACTCAATCACTAAAGTTTTTTTTAATGACAATGACTTATATTAGAAAACCGAAATTCATGCAAGCTACGATATGACAACAAGTCTCTTCCCGATCACCATCCCTCCAATCAAACTTTGAGTTAATCACCTTGTAGAAACAATATATCTCATTGATCGTATATAAATTGGGCACAATTGAACCAAAAATAATCGAAACAGATTTCTCATCATCCCCCATAATCTGCAAAAGCACTCCAACCCCTAGAGTGAAAACAACCACAAGAATATCCAGTTCAAAAACTAAAACTAAAACCAAAACATAACTACCCGAATTAAGAGGCCACCCAGAATTAAGAGAGGCCTGGACCTCCGCTCTAAGCATGCCAAGAGAAATTAAAAAACAACCTACTAAACCTCTGAGTGACAAAAATGGCGCTAGCTGCTGGCCGCCTGGCCGGGGAGAGAAAAAACCTAGGCAAGGCTAGATAAACGATGATTTCAAAGTTGTAAAGTTTAATCACCGAGGTTAGTAACCTTACCTATGTGTCCAAACACTAATGAGTTAAATGGCTTCAATTATTTTAGACGAACTTGCATAAGAGTATTATATCCATAACTGACATTATTTCTAGGGATGGCAACGGGGCGGTTCGGGGTCAGGTATACCATTACCCGTACCCGCCCCATTTGATAATATTTTTCTCCGAAACCGCCCCGTTACCTGTCGGGTATTATTTACCCGCGGGTAACGATTTTCCCCGCGGTTAATGTTTTTTTCCCCGCGGGTAACGATTTCCCCGCGGGTAACCTTTTATTAAAAGGTATTTTTTTCTTCAAAATTAGTATAAATCCTAAAATGATGATTAACTACTTATAATTGATCACCTAAATTAAAAAAATTAAAATTAAATAGCACCACTTGTTTTATTAAAAGATATTTTTTTTCTTCAAAATTAGTATGATGATTAACTACTTATAATTGACCACCTAAATTAAAAAAATCAAAATTAAATAGCACCACGAATAAAGTTTTTTAAAACATCACAAAAAATTACAATCTTTTGAACCCAATATTCACAAATTATATATGTCTAGATTCAAAATTATGAATCTCTTACCACATCAACATCAAGAGATTAAGTCTTGTCTCGATAGTAAAATCTAAATATGAATCACAAAAACATTTAACTTCCAAAAATTCAATAATCATACCCCATCAGCATTCAGTATCTAAATTTAAGAGCAGTAATGTATACAAATAACATAATGAAAATGAGATTTTTTTTCCTGAAATATTACTAATAAAAAATATATGGACATAAATGTGACTATAAGTTATCATGGGTAATATTTATAGTCACTACGATATAACACTTGAATAAAATTATAAACACTAAAATTACTAGAGTCGCATTTTTGTCCACGACTTTTATTTTGATTATAGATTTGGAATTATTTCTAAAAAATGTACTTCTAATACTATGATTTAGGTATTCTAATTTAGAGCAACCAATCAAAATTAATCTAATCATCCAATACACCTCTACAAAATTATTAGCAATTACATAAATTAAAGCAATCTAGAGTAATGTTTCCCAATATTTGGACTTTAAACTCATATGTGAGCTTTATGAAAGTTATTGGGTGAAAAAATAATAGAGTCACAATGTGAAAATTGTGTACAGAAAATCATGAAAATCAAATAATCAATATGTGAAGAAAATAAATCTTGTAGAAGTTAACAAAGGAAGGATGATGAATGAAATTGAAAATTAAAAATCTAAAATAGTGAATTTTGAGCATCAAGTCATCAGAATTACAAAGGATAGTCGATTAGTTGAATATTTTTTCAAAAAAATAGAGGGAATAAGTGTCACATACTAATGTACTACTATTCATATATACTTAATATATTAAATAATAAATACATAAACTATTAAAATATGTAAGTTAATTATGCGGGTTGGGTAATGGTGCGGGTAACCGTATCCAAATTAAACGGGGCGGGTAACGGGGCAGGTAACAGGGCGGGTAACGGGGCAGGTAACGGGGCGGGTAGGTATAAACCCATAACCGCCCCATTACCCGTTTACATAAATCGGGTATTCCCCGCCCCGTACCCGTTACCCGGTCAAAGCGGTTTTCCCCATTTTGACCGGTTCGGTTCGGTGCGGGTATCCATCAGGTCGGGTTAAATTGCCATCCCTAATTATTTCTCAAGTTTGACAATAATTACTTATTTTTAACTAATAAAAAACACAATACTCTTGTTTTGAAATTATCAAACATTTTAACTCATATTTAAGACAATTTTTTCATTTTTAATCTAAATCTGACTTTAGATGAATGCAAAAAACCCATTTGATAACACTGAAATTGAGTGAATCGACTCAGTTTTTTGAAATTGGAGAAATCATGGCTGATGCTACAGAATTGGCAGAATTTGTGTAAGTATAAATTTTTTTTATTAAAATATATTTTGTTAATAATAAAAGATGAAAAAGGAGGGGAAGTTAATTACAACCATTAATTTGTTAATAAAATGGTCCTCTACGCTATCTTAAGTAAATTCAGTTGAAAAGCAACTCAAATTTAATTTAATTTAATTATCATCCAATTCAGCGAATGAGATCGATAAAATGCGTTTTATGAAAAAATGAGAGATAAAGCAGATAAGTTGGAAGTTATAAAACGGATTCTAACTTATAAGATTGGACTTATAAATTTGATAAATAAAAAAATTAGAGCTAACAAAAAGGCACTAAAAAGTATATTCAACAAAAGTTGATCACACGCATTGGCCAAAAAGTGCCATATTATTAGTGATAAATGATAAGTGTAAGTTGTATAATTAATTGTGCTTATTATTATTATTATTAATATTAATGGGCGGCTAATAATCTGGATTAAGACATTTGCTAGATATAATCAGAATTTGTATGGAAGGCCGACATAAAAAGGGTTGTATGATTAGCTCATTCAATAAGTGCTCGTCAAAAATGGATTTTTTCTTTTAAAAATCGACCAAAATGGAACTTTAGTCGCACCATTATTACATTACCAATCCCATAAAGACAGAATGGAAAAAATGGAGAAGAGTAAATAAATACATGAGAAAAAGAGTAAGCACAGATCTGGATACAGTCTGGCGCTCTCTTTTTCCTTTTTCAGAAAAGGTTTAAACTCAAAAACAAAAGGCACACATCATTCAGAGAGTCTTCACGGAAGACTTTTTAAAGATTTTTAAGAAAGAGAAGAGTGAGAGGAGAGTCAACCCAACCTTTTCTCTGGGCTATTTTGGTTTCATGTATATGTAAGGTTTCGATGTGTCCACCCACATGTTAGCCCCATCTCCTTCTTCTCCAGACCTTCTTTCTCTCTCGCTCTACCCTTCTTCCCATTCATGGATGAAGAATGAATAACCAAAGCTTCTTACAGTGAGAAGAGGAATTTACAGAAATTAATTAAAGAAAAGTTTGAGAGGAACCTGAGACATTTGGATTTGTCCTCGTGTCTCCTCTACCTCTCTATATTTTTCTCCCCATTGTTATTTTTATAATCATTATAAATATAATTATTATTTTCCCGAAGATTTCATTCTTTCCCGGAAACCCTTTTTCACAAACTGAAAAAGACTTCATCTTTGAGCGGAAATTATTAATTTACTCACTCGAAGAGTCAAAGGGTAAGAGAAAAGACAAGATTATTTCGATGAATTTCGGAGGGTTTCTTGATAGTAGCTTTTCCGATGGATTCGGCGGCGGAGGCGGAGGCGGTTCTTTGGACGGTGGTCCAGTCTCTCATTCTTGCCTTGTTCCTCAGTCCCTTGCTAAGTCCATGTTCAACACCCCGGGCCTCTCTCTTGGTCTTGTACATCTTTTGCCCCTCTCTCTTTATATCTCTCACTAATTAAGAATGGAGATGAAAAGGAACCATAGATTGTGTTTTCCGTGTTTATACTGATCAAATTATGGTCTTTTTTTGGGTTTTGGAAGCAAACGGAAATGGAGGGTCAAGGAGAGGTGACGAGAATCGCAGAGAGCAACAATGGCAGCGGCGGTCATAACAGTCTTGGGAGGAGAGGCAGAGAAGAAGAGCATGAGAGCAGATCTGGTAGTGACAACTTGGAAGGTGCTTCAGGAGATGATCAAGATGCCGCCGACGATAAACCTCCGAGAAAGAAAAGATACCACCGACACACCCCTCAGCAAATCCAAGAACTTGAAGCGTAAATCCCTCCCACCCCACCCCCACCCCACCAAAACAAGTCTTTTCCCCGCTTTATAATGTAATTTATCTGCATTCCACTAAAGATCTTATTTTGATCACAGAATTATTTATGTTATATGTTTTCTAGTTTGTTCAAGGAGTGTCCTCATCCTGATGAGAAACAAAGGTTAGAGCTAAGCAAAAGGCTTTGTTTGGACATTAGGCAGGTTAAGTTTTGGTTCCAAAACCGCAGAACTCAGATGAAGGTATGACCATAGTGCTTACTTAGATTCAATCTTTATTGAGGTTTCTTCTAGAAGTTGGTAATCCAAACTTAAGTTAATTCAGTAATTATTGATTAAAGTGTAAAATCGATTTGGTTGGATTATTGAACCAGACTCAACTGGAAAGACATGAGAATGCCTTGCTAAGACAAGAGAATGACAAGCTTCGGGCGGAGAACATGGCTATTAGAGAGGCATTAAGGAATCCAATTTGCAACAACTGTGGTGCCCCGGCAATGATTGGTGAAATCTCAATGGAAGAGCAACACCTCCGGATCGAAAATGTCCGACTAAAGGATGAACTGGACCGCGTTTGTTCCCTCGCCGGGAAATTTCTAGGCCGTCCGATTTCAGGATTAAACACTTCCATGCCGCCTCCTCAGATGTTGCCCAACTCAAGTTTAGAGCTTGGGGTAGGGAGCAATGGTGGGTTCGGAGAGATGAGCGTGGTCCATGCCCAGTCCGATTTCGGCCCCACATTGCCCATGACTCAACCAGCTAGGCATGGCAGTGGCGGGGCAATGGGGATTGAGAAGTCATTGGAGAGGTCAATGTACTTGGAGCTTGCTTTGAGTGCTATGGATGAGTTGGTGAAGTTGGCTCAGGCGAATGAGCCCCTATGGGTAAGGAGCTTTGAAGAGGGCAGAAGTGTTCTTAATCAAGAAGAGTATATGACGACATTTACTCCTTGCATTGGATTGAGGCCCAATGGGTTTGTGTCTGAGGCTTCTAGGGAGACTGGGATGGTCATTTTAGATAGTTTGGCTCTTGTTGATACACTCATGGATTCTGTGAGTAAAATGAACTCATATCTCATTCCTTAGTGTTCTTTAAGCTCTATGGGGTTATGCTTGTCTCATGTTGTGAAATGCTTTTTGCAGGTCAAGTGGGGTGAGATGTTCCCATGTGTTGTTGCTAGAGCTTCAACAACAGATGTGATATCAAATGGTATGGGAGGAACCAGGAATGGTGCCCTTCAGCTGGTAATGCACTATTTCTTTCTTCCTTACTGGTAGGATCATAACCTATTAGGACATATGTACCTGAAATGGTACATGTCTATCTGTGTGTATCACTGTTTCGCGTGCTCCTACCGATTGTTTTGGAACGTATATGAACTTTTCTAAAGTTTCGGGGTACATTTGCAACTTTTTTTAAAATCAGGAAATAGTTTCCATGTCATAAGTGGGAAAATGTTAAAACTAAGTGTTCTTTTAGATCTATTGTGTTTGCATATTCAATAAATGTTTGCTTTGTTGTAAGTGAGATGGTGAATAATTGGACAAAAACTTCAAGAGCAGACACATTAAATAAAATGGAATGTTACTTTTTCAAGAAGTCAGTGTAAATCGGAGTAGAATGAGTCATTTGTACAAATAGGAGTTGTATTATTCGTGCTAAATGTAAGACTAAATCGTTCCTAAAAAGGATTTATAGTAGTTAACATTTCTTTTCTAGGAGTAGCCTATTAGAAGAAATGTATTATGCTTTAGGCTTATTTTAGGAATTTTATTCTCTTTTTTATGAAATTATTCATATTTCTTTGTAAATATTGAAATTCAGTTATATTATAGAGAATAGTTGATGTAGTTATTTTTCTTTGTGAAAAGATCAATTTTTTCAATTAATCCCTTGAGAATTTTTATTAGTTGGATTTACTCACCCTCGTAAGGATGCATATACGTTTCTTATTTACATTTATCAGGTATATTCCTACATGGCAAATGTTGATCGGTGTTAAAAAGTTGTCTTATTTTTCACCATCCAATCATCGCGGGCATTGTAGAATTATTCTACTCCTTACTAGTATCTTATATTTCCCTTTGAGATTGCTATATTTGTCACTTGAATCTTAGCTACTGTTCAAAACATCTCCACCTAGCTTTGCTGGGATATGTGGTTAGGGAGGCTCTCGCCCCGTCAATCAATGATGTGCTGATTAAGCCCCGACAAAGCCCAACTAGTTGCTAGCACCATATATTTACTTTCCAGAGGCCGTGTAGTGCTTTTAAGAACCCTGATCTTAACATAGTAACATCATTAATTATTGTTGTTGTTATTATGGTACAGATGCATGCGGAACTCCAATTATTAACACCGTTAGTGCCGGTGCGGGAGGTGAGTTTCCTCCGGTTCTGTAAGCAGCATGCGGATGGGGTGTGGGCCATTGTTGACGTGTCAATCGACACCATCCGCGAGAATTGTAGTGCACCGATGTTTCCCAGCTGCAGGAGGCTCCCTTCCGGCTGTGTGGTCCAAGACATGCCCAATGGCTACTCCAAAGTAAAATTCACATCTTCTCTTTACACTTATCATTTTCCCAGTATTTTCCAATGCTCAGTTAATGGTATACCCACACTTTTTGTATTGGTTAAACCTCTCACCTCACATGCATCTTGTACTGTTACACCCTTTTGTTTTTTTATTTAATGAGTTTGTTGATATGACTTGACAAGATTATTTTCATATGGACCCACTGATTTCACATCTACTTTTGTATGTGTAGATATCACACACACAATCACTGCATTTTTTGTGTCATATAAGGGTTGAAAATATACCAACTTATATCCCATCTAGTTATCTGGTAAGTATGTGCTTGGCTACAACCACTAAGGTAGTAACTGTATAGATTAGTATGGAAGGGTTCCTTCATTTTCGAGGAGTCTAACTGTGCACATAGATGTCATTTTCTCTATGTGTTGGAGGACAAATATTTATAATAATAATCATAATAATTGTATAAAATTAATAACAATAATAGCTACAATCCTAGTATTAGTGAAGCTAGTAGTATTTAAGTACTCTCATTTTTACATAATAGTAATAATAATAAGAATAACATAACACCTATTCTAGGAAAACTATACTCTATGTAATGCTGGTCAGATCTAGTCATTTCAATTGGTTTGTTTAAGTTGGTCTGGTCGTGAAATAGGGTGATTATATAATGATAATTTAATAGGGGTGGTGTATACCATGGAATGATCCCCATGATGTATAGCATTATTACTCCTCAATAATTTCATGTATTTAGAAAGGAAAATATGCTCTGGAATTCTCAATTTAGTAAGAATACAAACTATGTATTTTCCGTGTCTATTCCAATATCTGATCAAAAAGCTGTCACTATCAGCCCTCATTGTCTTTATTATATATTATATATATAAGGCCAACTTTGCATTATCTGGTTATAGTCCCCTTGATTTCATTATTATTTTTCAAGCATTCTTTCTCTATACTTTATTAGAGTTTGGCTCTATATATAAATAGCTCTATTTTGATTTATACTGCCTAGACTTACCGATGCAATATTTGGCACCTGCCTTTGTTGACCTTTGAAGATATCCTATTTTGAACTATGAATGACCAGGACAATTCTTTTTTTTTTAATTTTATGTTAAATAATAGGCATGAACATTATCACGAACTATGGATTCTTAAAAAGTAATATGGCGCTATTGCATTCAACAGGTAACATGGGTTGAACACACAGAATATGATGAGAGTGTAGTGCACCAGCTCTACAGGCAAATGATTGGTTCTGGAATGGGCTTCGGCGCTCAACGGTGGCTTGCAACTCTCCAACGTCAAAGCGAGTGCCTAGCCATCCTCATGTCATCCACCTTAACCACACGGGACCCCACGGGTAAGAGCTATTTAAACTTTTTAATCAGTCTATAGGAAGTAGTCCATCTGTGGTATTCTTTTCAGTGTATCCACCAGTTTCATCCACTAGCTTAGGAAAAGAGCACGAAATATAGATGATTTTTATTGAACGTGTTTTTCCTTCACTATTACTAAAACTAAACTTATCACATATGAACAATAGTATGACCATATGGTCCTCGTTGCAAGGAAAAAATGAATATCACCACGAGCACTTCAGCTACATCAAAACTGCCACTACGCTGTAAAACTTTTATTGTAGTCATATACTTCTCATTATTGCTATCAATATTGATTTAAGAATAATTAGAGCATGTCTTGAAGTTCGATCGATATGGATGATTCATGTATTACTGCATAGTATATATGAACCTAAAAGAACAACTAAAAATAAATATTAGAGAAATGTGAATTTTTTTACCATATTTGTTGTTTTCTTAATACTTGAAGATGCTAATGCAGGTATTACTCCTAGTGGAAGAAGGAGCATGTTGAAGCTAGCCCAACGGATGACGAATAACTTCTGTGCGGGAGTGTGTGCTTCCACCGTTCACAAGTGGAATAAGCTTTGCACAGGAAGTGTGGATGAAGATGTTAGGGTTATGACTAGGAAGAGCATGGATGATCCCGGTGAGCCACATGGCATTGTTTTGAGCGCTGCCACTTCAGTTTGGCTGCCTATATCCCACGTTAAACTCTTCAACTTCCTCCGCGATGAGCAGATGAGGAGCGAGTGGGATATTCTCTCTAATGGCGGCCCCATGCAGGAGATGGCCCACATTGCCAAAGGACAAGATCGCGGCAACTCCGTCTCCCTCCTCCGTGCCAGTGTATTCTTATCTTCCCAACTCTATTACACAACAATATTATTTACCATAAGACTCCTTTCATCCATCTTTTATCAATTTCTTGGAAATTTTATGGTTCTTCTATATGTGGCTGATCAGTTTCCTTGGTAGATTATACGGAGTACAAGAAAAGAACTTAGATGACGAAAATTAAAACAGATTTTTAATTGGGAAAATATAAGAGACTAAAACTGAATGTTTATTATATATTTCAGGTTTTCAGGTATCTGTTTTTTTTGAAGTATTTCAACTATTGGTTCAAAAAACGATTTTTTTGCTTATTTTTTTATATAGACTGAAATGTAAAAGCATATGTTAGCGATTTATAGCATTAAATTATTTACATTTTGTTTCCTTTGAATTTTCCAAGGTAAAACCAAATACCGATGGTATTAAAAAACACCTTACTTTTCATATTTATTCCTGGAATCTATGGAAAAATAACAATGCTATAAAAATTATTTCCTTGGGATTCTTGAAAAGTGCAAAGAGAAGTGAATACTATAGGTTTATTTTTTAAATTAGAAGTCCTTTTGTGTAAAAAATAAATAAATAGAAGTCCTTTTTAAAATCTCAGTATTCATAATAGATATAAATAAAAAATGATTTTGAACAAACATATGAATAAATTGTCGAGTTTTAGTGTATCCATTATTTTCCTTGATTTTTAGTCACTTTTCTGTTTATTTTCCATTTATTTTGCTAGTTTTATATTGGGTTCAGAAGACGCCCTAATAGTAAACTAGTTTTATGGTTTTTATTTTCATAATAATAATAATAATAATAATAATAATAATAATAATAATAATAATACTATGTGTTTGCTTATTTTGCAGGCAATAAACTCCAACCAGAGTAGCATGCTGATACTCCAGGAAACATGCATAGACTCCTCTGGGTCGCTTGTGGTGTACGCTCCGGTCGACATTCCGGCAATGCATGTGGTGATGAACGGTGGAGATTCGGCCTACGTGGCACTTCTGCCTTCTGGATTTGCGATCATGCCGGACGGGCGAAGTTCTCGCGGCGGTTACGCGGAGAACAGCTCAAACGGGGGCACAGACCAGAGGGGCGGCGGCGGGTCACTCTTGACGGTGGCGTTCCAGATCTTGGTGAACAGCCTCCCGACGGCAAAGTTGACGGTGGAATCCGTTGAGACGGTCAACAGTCTCATTTCATGCACCGTCCAAAAGATCAAGGCAGCCCTACAGTGCGAGTGTTGACTGTCCGCACGTGCTTGTCACGTGGAAATAATGGTTTCAATCAATTTCCCCTCCTTTTTCATTCTATTGTTGTTAGTTTTTGTCTAACTAGGGGTCGTGTCATGTTTGGTTTAGTGAATGCGTGCAATTTTTATTATTATTTTAATGTAAAATGTTGTAGAGAAAATTTGCTAGCGAGTCAAGAACGAACCAAAACATCCATTCGATAAACGGGCGGTTTCTCGCCGGCCGTGGTGGTTCGGGCTTTAAACGGGCAAGGGTGGTGGTTCGGGTATTGACTCCGTCAACTTTTAAGGGTAATTATGCTCCATTGAGTTGTTAATTAAGCATGAGTGAAGATTAAGTGTCTTCAACTGTTTTCTATTTTCTTATATAATAACATGATTGTTAATCAATGTATGTTATTTATTTTTTATTTTAATATGCATACCTATATACAGAGTACTTTTTAAACTAGACTTTTTAATTAATTCTTCTTTAAAACAATTTCCAAGGTTTTTCAAAAAACTAAATTTACTCTTCCAAAAAAAACTAAATTTACTTACTCTAGTCATTATATTTAGCAAGTCACTACATATGTTTTTATAAATAATTTTATATACTCCCTCCGTTTCTGAAACAAGTTACACCTTTCCTTTTCGGACAGATTCAAAATTAAGTTTCACTTTCAAACATTTCCTTATTATCTACATCAAAACAGTGCCAAACAGTGTTCAAACAGTGCCAAACAGTGCACTCCACAGTAAAGTCAAATTTATTTTCTTAATATGTGTGAAGTCAAATGTGGAACTTGTTTTGGAATCGGAGGGAGTAAGTCATAAATATGTAAATATTTCATTTTGTATAAGTATTTATATAATTGTAAATATTGAACGGTCGAACCTTTAATTCCAAATTCTTGCATAGTTGCATTACCTCAATTAGTACTGTATGAATTTATTAAACTAAACCTTACAGTTATTTTTTTCTTAATTTATAACTATTAAAATGATGTTACTATTAATGGTACAATTTACTGTTTTTCTTTTATATGGTGCATACTAATAAATCCATTTGAGATGTAGGTAAGGATGTTTTTACTTGGATTGTAATTTGTTGGTCTTAACCGATCTGATCTGGTATGGTCTGATTTCTTTATATTTTTATAACTATTCAAGTTTGGTCTCAACTAAATCAGATAATTACGATCAAACATCCTAATTCACAAAGAATAAAGAGGGAAGAAGATTAGGTGAGAGTACGGGGTATGGGGCAGTTGAAGGGGCCGGGCCGGGCGGGCATTAAATGCGGGGAAGGGAGCAGAAGCTGTTGGCATAAAACGTCGCCATGCATTTAATGCAAAAAACACACCCTACGTACTCACTCCTCTGACCCCATTCCCAATACCGTTTTCCTTTCACATATTTGCTACCAATATAATGATGATGAAAACCAATTGAAGACTTCAAACGTGGTATTTACAATGTTAACCAAACAAATGAATAATACGGAGTAATAGCATTATTACTTTTATGGTGCTGTTGGATTTTATCAACTAGGGAGTATCCTTTTTGTCCCAAAAAACTTGTCAATTTCTCTTTAAAATTATGAATTTGTAGTTTCCTTCAATCCTCTCCTCTACATAAATCTCAATAACATCAACTCGACAAAGTTGAGTGAAATGAATTTAGTATGTTTTTCACTCACTAATAAAAAATGAGATTCCTTGTAAACAATTGTTCTATGATATTTTCGTCAATAACATTTCAGATAGTTTTTTAGTAAATCGCTAGGGATATAGTAGAGAAAAGGGAGCTCTGATAGTTTAAAGAGAAAGTACAATGTATTATACTAGTAATTAATGACGCAGTGTTTTGAATGTACTACACGTATTGACTCATCTATAGGCGAGAGCCCTATGGCGTAACATAACTTGACGCATGTTATTCTTTATCTGACTTCTAGTAAAGGGTTCTCTGTTGGTCAAAGTGACGATGGTCGAGGTGCAGGCCGGGGTGCACCCCGGGTCTGATGTTGTTCTTTTCACAAAGTGATTATCTAGATTCATGATCGTGGTGATGAGATCAAGGTGACTGTGTGGACACAGACCAATTTTCTTCGTTCTGGTCTGGACTTGGTTGCCCCCCGTAATGTGGTGGGCTTGGAACTTTCAGATGTCCAAGAGTGTGTGGGTCGTGGGTCTGGGTCCATATACTCTATCAATTCCTTTCTAAAAAATATAAGTAACTTTTCACTTTCTATAAATAAATTTATCACGTTGACACGATTGATACGATTGGCACGATTCCTTCTTGGAAAAAAATTGAATCTTTACTCTATGTTCCAATTTTACCATCACTTAATTAACTGAGCTACTCGTCCAGGTAATTGACTCTTTACTCTTAAAGTGGCTATAGAGCACTTGATATTGTTTCAAGAAATTTTTTGACAAAAATAATCTTCTCACTTTTCACATAATGATTATAAGGGGTGAGTATAAATAGCAAAATTGTTACACTACAAAAAACAAAGATTTTATCATGGATTTTTGTCACGGATTTGGTTCGTAACAAGTTTGTCACGGATTTATTTCACATATCACCAAAAAGCTTTGTCACGGACCAAATCCGTGACAAAACATTTGTCACGGGAGAAATCCTGTTGTTACGGACGGAATCCGTGACAACACTATTAATTTTTTTAGTTTGTCACTGATGGATCCGTGACAAAATCTGTGACAAAACTCAATAATTGTTATTCCCAATGGTCATCGAATTAATGTTGTACGAATAGATGTTTTCACGGACCAATCTGTGACAAAGTCCATGACTTGGAAATTTATATATGCAACAACAGTTTCATTCGACTCGTACCAGTTAGAAATTCAATTAGAGTAGAATACAGTATCTATTGAAAGATTGAAAGGTGTAATCTTATATCTTTTTCCCTGCCATGCAGATAAAGTATGTCGTTAGAATTGTGTATCTTTTTTAATGCAAAATATTATTAATTTAAATTGTTTAGTGTTGTTATAATTTATTGTGCATATATTTGAAATTCATTTGGAAATGTATATTAAATTTTCAATTATTGGTAATACCATTAATTTAAGATTTGAATTGATAATATTAGTTAAATTTAAATATTATTTAATCCAAATGAGTTTATAAAAATTTAGGTTTGTTTATGCCTTTTAGTCAAACCCCTTTAAGAGTTTTAAGTAATAACAATAGTAATTAATTCAATTAAAATGCCTTTCACATTTTTAGTTAATTAAAATGTTTATTTGAAATTCGTTTAGAAATATATACTAAATTTTAGCAATTATTGTTAATGGACTTAATTTAGAATTTATAATGATTTAAGTTAGGATTTAAACATTACTTTAGTGTGAATCTTTAGGTGGTCAATGAACTATTATTGTGAATTATTTGAATTTCATTTAATTTAAATGTTAGTTAATTTATAGTGTATATTAGATTTTCAAAATATTAGTATTTTGAATTAATGTCATTAACTTAATGATTTAGTGTATTTAGTTAATTAATAATATTAATTAAACGTTAGTAAATTTTAGTTAATGTTTAGACATATAATTTATAGTTTATAATTTATAATGCCATTAGTGATAAATTTAGACACATAATTAATTATTGTTAATGTTTATAATTTATAGTTTTTAACGAATACAATATTTTGATTATAATACTGAGGCATAATGTATAGACAAAATAGAAGTTGGATGTATGATAAACAAGTGCCAATTGTATGGAAAAGTCAAGTGCCAATTATAATATATATTCAGGCCTATGGTATGCTTTCGGGATGGAGCACACACAGTCTTTTGGGATGTCCGATATGTATGAAAAAATCAGGTGCCAATTGGCTCAAATTCAGCTGGAAACCAGGTTACTTTGATTGTCACCGCAAGTTTCTCCTGGCAAACCATCGATATCAAAAGGACAAAAAGTCTTTCATTAACGGAAGAGTGGTACGAGACCCCCCACCCCTGAGACTTAAAGGCGAACAAGTTTTTAACCGGGGTTGACGTATTCCTACGGTTGTGCAAGAGCCACGGAAGGATCCAGATGGGTATTGTAATACCCATAAGTGAACAAAGAGGAGTATATTTTGGGAGTTGCCATATTGGAAAGACCTACTCATTCGTCACAATTTAGATGTCATGCATATTGAGAAAAGCGTCTTTGACAATATATTTAACACGATGATGAATTTCAAAGACAAAATCAAAGACGGTCTTGCATCTAGAAAAGACATGATAATGTGGTGTGATGGACACGAACTTGCTGTTGATCTAGATTATAGACCATGGGGGTAAAATTCCAAAAGTAATCTTCCAACTCACGAATGCACAAAAGAAAGAAATATTAGAGCAGCTTGTGTCGCTAAAGTTTCCAGATGGATATTGCTCTAACATGTCTAGATGCGTGGATATGAAAAAACTTACCATGACGCCAAGCATGAAAAGTCATGATGCTCATGCAAAGACTTCTGCCGATTGCAGTGAGAGACATGCTTCCTCGAGACGTATGTGGTTGTATTACTGAAATCAGTTTATTTTTTCAGTCGATATGTTCCACCGTTTTGGATTCTGATTCCCTCCAGAGATTAGAAGACTCCGTTCCCATTCTGATGTGTGATTTGGAAAAATACCGCTTTCATCCTTTTTCGAGGAAATGGAACATCTAATACTACATCTTCCATATGAGGCTCTGAATTGAGGTCTCGTTTTCTATCGTTGGATGTACAAATTTGAAAGGTCAGTCACAATTTCATTCATATTTCAAGATTTATTTAATAAGAACATTTGTTTGTTTACAAATTTTGTTTTGCGTGACAAATTTCTAAAAGAGTTGAAAACAAAAGTGACCAACAAGACACACGTTGAGGCTTCAATTTGTCAAGCATATATTTTCAATAAAAATCTCAACGTTTTCATCTTTTTATTTTGAACGTGATGTCATCACTAAAAGAAAGAGACTTGTCTGGAACGATGACATTGACGAGGATTCGTATGACAAAGTAGTTTCCATTTTCAATTACCCAAGTAGAGGTAAAGGAGTTGCGACTTACCTTTACATCGTGGGTGGAGAATATACAGTTGCACATACTTACATTCTCATGAATTGTCTAGAAATCTTACCATTTTATAAGTAAGTTAAATTGGTACTTATATGTAATATAGCTAGAAATATGAGCAAGAGTGTTATATTTTTTTTTGTAGATTTCACAGCGAATTTAGAGCATCTTTATCAACATTTCCTGATGATGCAATTGATGTAATGATGGACTCTGA